GGGTATGATTGTACGATAAAAATAGCGTCATGAAATTAATGAAACGGGTCTCCAGGGTGTTCCAGGGCCTCCTAAATGCTTTTTTTCCTCGCGCATGAGAAAATGATCGTATAGAGTAAGAGCCAACGTTTCTTTGCTTGATTTTACAAGTACAGAATTCTCTGACTATTCTTAGGGCCCCTTCTGGCCACTCCAGGGCCCCCCAAGTTTTTCCGTGTGCCACTCCTGGCCACTAGTAGTCTTCTGCTTGCCTAATTGGCGGGCATTCTCACTTTTTCAACTTATTTCAGAGTTCCTACATGGGTTTCAAGAGAAAGAGTGCCCCCAAGCCTAATTCGGTTATATTTTAAGAAAGGTTGGTGCATGGTTCAAAAAAGTTTCTTAAAGTATTGAATGAAACGTGAGCAGCAGCATAAGACGAGAGCATCAGATGGCACAGTGCCCTTTGAGAGTGGGTGTAGCAACCAAGGGTGATTGTGCTCTGTTTGGGTTTAAAACTGATCAGTGGTACATACCACCTAACAAAATAACGTGTCATGGCGCAGACTGTGTGTCATTGCTGCAAATCCCAACTGCTCTGCGCGGGAAATTTGCTCATTGCTTTGTTTCGTAACGTTTTGCAGCTTGCGTGTCGTCAGTGTTTTTTACTTGCTTTTAGTTAAATATAAAGTGGTTCTTTTGTACTTGCCAAGATACCCGTCATCACGAACATTTTTGTTCCGTCCATGAAAGAAACTGTTCATAGAATTTGAACATGTGCATGGACACGTGGCCATGTGGCTTTGAACAGCCACTTGGCCATGTGGCTTAGCTGGCTAAGGCGTTGGCTTCGGAGCCCGAAGTACCCTGGTTCGCCTCTGACCACCGGCGCGTTGTGTCTCGGTCCCCTCGGCAAAAGAATCGCAACTCCGATAGGTCTGGCACTGTAGCGCATCGTTGAGTAACCCGAACGATCCTTCTTCCGACGTACTGGTTTTTTGTTTTCGTTTTTGCTTAATACTCGTCGTTAGGTAACCAATGGCGATCGGTCTGTCCGCAGATCATGATAATGATGCTTCTGGCCTCATTCCTGATGACAATGAAGATGAAGATCCTACGTACCTCCCCGACCCGCGGCCAGCAACGGACACGAATGAGGATGAGGACCAGGACATGGACGGGGACATGGATGAGGACGAGGACAAGGGCTAGTTCAAGGATATGGACGAGAACTAGGATATGGAGCAAGTCAAAGACGAGAACGAGGACGAGGACCAGGATGAGGCCCAGGTAGTGGCCAAGAACAGCAGAAGGGCTTCCGGCGAACACAGTGTCTCTGTTGAAAAATCTCCTAAAACAAGAAAGCTATCCCTAAAGCGGAACGTTTGTCCCTATTGTGGTACCCTGCACACAAAACTTGCGGGCCATCTTTTCCGGAAGCATAAACAAGAACCCGACGTACTTGACGCACTCGCCTTTCCAAGAGGATCAAGGGAGAGGAGAGTCACTCTGGAAGGTATCATTCATAAAGGCAATTTCAAACATATCTCTGCTGTTTTCCGAGATGGGCGAGGAACGATCGTCCCAAGAGGCGTCCACCTCAAGATATGAATATCAACGTGGAAGATATGCTGCCATGTGGGAAATTTCACGGTTTCTTTTCTAGACGCAGCCTCTTTCGGCATCGGTGCCACGCCCATGGGAAAACTGCCTCTGGGGGCGGAGTCCAGTCCCAGGGAAGGTCCTTGCTGCCGTGCCACAGAGATGCCGCGGCTGGTTTAGAAAACCAGATGGCGAAGATGTGAGACGATAGTATTCCGTCCACTTGCAGGCATGATGCCCTTATCATGGAGTTCGGGGCCCGTCTCTACACAAGATTGGGCCACGAGCGCCACCAACATGCACACATCAGAGAAAAAATGCGGCAGCTGGGACGACTGCTGCTGGAGCTGAATGTATCAAGCCCAGGATCAGGTCTAGAGATGTTAATTCACCCCGCAAAGTTCGTGGAAGTGGTAGGCGCGGTCAAGAACCTGGCCGGTGTGAAGGAGGGCAAATATCATAACCCATCGCTTGCTCTCAAGCTTGGTTATGGCCTCAGTGAATGCGCGGGCATACTGAAAACGCGCGGGACCACCAACGAAGACGCCACCCCGAAGACGGCTGCGGACGATTTCCTCCTGCTCTACCAACGAGATTGGAAGCTACACGTGTCTTCTCGTTCGCTTACCACTCTCCAGGAAAAGAAGTGGAATAAGCCCGTCGACCTTCCCCTCAATGCGGATGTTCAGAGTGTAACGAAGGAGGTGCAGGCTCGGGGCTCTTGGAAGAGGAACGCTTTATCAAGAACTATGTTAAATTGTCGGAGACTGCGCGGGCATCCATCATTTTGTTTAACCGGCGAAGGCCGGGAGAAGCGTCAAGGCCTACGGTCAGATCATACACTGAGAGGGACCAAACTCTCAATGAAGATGTCCTGCAGCACCTGTCTCCCGTAGAGCGAGAGCTATGCCATTCGCTGGGAGATGTAGTGGTTCGGGGCAAAAAACGAGGCGATGTGCCCATCACGCTAACAGCCACAATGCGAGGGACGCTTGATCAGCTGATCGCAGAGAGGAAAGACGTTGAGGCCCCTCTCGACTGTCCACACATTTTCGTCAACAGCGCAGCCCCAGATGCGAGCACGCTCAGAGGCAGCGGCTGCGTGCGGACATTCGCGCGAAAGGCACGTGTCAACAACATCACAGCCACGAAGTACAGAAAGCATGTAGCCACTATGCTGCAGCTGCTGCGACTGAGCGAGAATGAAATGGATATCGTGGCCCGCTTTATGGGCCATGACATACGGGTTCGCAGGCAGTTCTATAGACTTCCCGAAAAGACGGTGCATGCTGCCAAAGTGAGTAAAATACTACTCGCGATGGCCAAAGGGATCGGCGGATTCGCAGGAAAGACCCTGGATGACCTTGACCCCAGCAGTGACGATGTCGTCGAAGGTGATCCCGCTCCCAGTGTCGACATGAACGACAGCACTAGCATTATTGCGATCTATATATCCGATCCCCAAGCTGAAGCAGAAAACGGACCACCCAGGGGGCCAAGGATTAATAAAAGGAAGCCCAAAACCAAAAGGAAGGTCGTGCTGTAGACTGAAAGAGAAAAGGAGGCTACACAGAGGCGCATGAAGCCATTTATCGGTTCTCTGAAGTGCCCAGGAATGGCAGACTGCCTAGCGGCACTGAAGGAGGAGTCTGCACCGTGCCGGCGTTCCTGGAAGGATGTTAAGTTCTGTACATACAATGTGATCCAGAAGCACAAGTGTGCCATGGAAATGTAGTTTCAGCTGGAAGCTTGGAATGCTGCATGTCTAGATCCCCTGCTGCGTTGTGTGCAATCGCTGCCTTGTGGTGGCAATGTTCTTTTACCTGCAAGCTCGAGAGGCTCCGGACGTTAGATCCTCTGTTGTGTTATGTTGCAACCCCTGCTTTGCGGTGAGGTTGTTTGACCCGTTTGCAAACAAACTAAGAAACCTTTTGCACAAGAGTGTGTTTGTGGTGGACCGTGATCGGAACTGATGGATTTGCTGTCTCATGCTGCCCTCCCCACATGGAAATAACACAAAAACTAAAAATGAATAGCAGAAAGCCCGCGTCGGGAGACCTCAACATTGCCTTACAGATTGCAGTAGTGACCTATGTCAAGAAGTTTGAAACCGATTTTGTGACCTGCATAGCCGACTGACCTGACCTGCTCCAGATCGTCGTCGATCTGGACTCGGCGATCATCGTCGACCAGGACTATCGATTGATCGTGGTTATCGTCGTCATCATTGGGGCTTCACGACGCACTCACCTGCTGAGGTCATATGGCGTTGCCTGACTCCAACCAAGGCAGTGATTTGTTATTGTGATTGTTCTTCATCTATGCCGTGGGCTCGTCGGACAGGTACCGGCCAGGTACGAAAGACAGGGGTAATGAAAGGACATCAGCGGAAGAACTCGGAATGTTGAAAAATGCAAGGAGGTTCAGATTTGTGTACTGTTTTCATTTTACGCATTATTCATGCTTTGAAATCAACCACCTAAATGTGATGTAATCCCACATAGTTCCGCAACTTTTAATTCGCACACAATGTTAGGCGTCCTGTCTTGACAAAGTTTTGGCGTCAACTTGGAAAAAATTTCGAACACGGACGAAGAGACATAATTTTTGGACTGTAATGAACAAGGCATAACATGTAGCATAAGGGTAGGCATAAGAAGTGAAAATCATCTGTTGCAAACCGAAAAGTTGCGTGTAGCTTGTGCCATGCGTCAAATATAACATAATATGATACAATATAATACAAATATAACAACATAATGCAACATAATGGGAAGATCACATAACATATTACAATAAAATACAAATATAACATTATATAATGCAATATAATGCAGATATAGCAATATAATACAATGTAATACAAGTATGACATAATATAACACAGATCAACATAAATATCACGGCTCCTTCAAAAACAAAGAATGTGCGGGTAAGGCATCAGCAACCAAGTTCCATTTCCCTGCCAGTTGGTTCGCCAACGTGACCGAACCGACGTTGTCACCCAAATTCCCTTTCTTTCCATGTCATCAATGAAGACAATTTAGATACACATTACAATGCGGAGACCGGTCCCTAGCTTGATAAGTGTAAGGCGTATGACGCACCTTTGACGTCATATTAGCTGGTCCCCGCTTCGCGGCATCCTACGGATATTGATCCCTTATCGCTAGACCTACGAAATGCTTACCATCGCACTCCTCGGGTTTTCAGCAGCACTAAGATGTTAATTTCGTAACGCTAGCTCATGTTTAAAGAGGTGTGTAAGTGGTCCCCACTCGGTAGTAGTCCAGCGCGGTCCCCACTTGGGAGGGCTTACAAACAGGGGTGTGTGTGTGTGTGTGTGTGTGTGTGTGTGTGTGTGTGTGTGTGTCATGGTTGTGGTTCGAAAAATCGCTTCCATTCTACTATATTTTCAGTCCTCCATGGGAAATTCGCTGAGCAGTGCTGAGGATGGAGAGACGCGATGTGACCATGCACTATACGAAGAAGAATATGAAGCTGAACGACTGGGCCGGCTGGAGGCCGCCGCCCTGTTGAGGCGGCAGAGGCTTGTCCAGCGTCCGCGCGGACACCAGCTCGCCCAGGCATATGCAGTTCGCTCCTCCGTGCAGCGTGCGCCGCTCCCGGTCGCTCCCCGCCTGCCAGAGTACTGCTACCGCCACGGCTCGCGCGGGGGCTGCGTGGACGCCAACTGCCGCCGACTGCACATTTGCCATCTCTTCCTGGCGGACATCTGCAAGTTCGGCGACGCCTGTCGCAACGGCCACTCGCTGACCACAGTGCACAACCAGGTGAGAGATGGCGTTGAATTTAGAGCTGGACGTGTTATCGGGTTTTGAAATTGGGATGTTTGCAAACATGCATTAGAACATTCCACTCTGAATAGCACAACTGAACTTTCTAGGGCTGGAATAGCCTTTTTGTATTACTGCTGTGTCAATTTTGTTGCGAATGTGGATTATGCCTGGCCAGAAGAGAGGCCTTTGCCTGTTTCGCGCACAGTGTGTGGTATCCGGCCTCTCGCCTGCCATGAGTCCTTTGAATATGTCGGTATCATAAGAATATTGCATGGCATAACTTCCGACGAACGTACCGCATCAGGCTATGTATACCGCTGGAAAACGTAAGATCCCTTTAATGAATAAACATGTTCGAATTTTTCCAATGCGGTCGCTCAGAATACTCCGTACATCCAAAATCCGTCAAAATGTCGCACTATGGGGACACGCTTATAGACCGTATTTAGTGGAAAACCTTATTGCGCTTGATTATGCCACTCGATGTTTAATATTTTGGCAATGACTGCTTACGTTCAGAAACAGCACGCCAAGACTGTTCAGAAACAGCACGCCAAGACTGTTCGACCGGTGCACAGAAATCAAGGTTGCACAGAAATCAAGGTTTCTAGCTTTAGGCCGGAGATTCGATGGGTAGGATGTCAGAGTTAAGCATAAGGTATTGTTGAATGTCAACTTTCAACTTTCAAACGTTCGTGCATCTTTCCTGTCCTCTTAGAAAGAGACTCGCGGGTGTCACTGAATGGACGAGGGAAATTTCAGTCCGAATTCGAAGGAGTTGGACAAAGCTTTATGTCTGCCCCTGCGCCGCAAGGAACATGTTGGTTACGCGCCTCATCCCGTGCCTTTATCCAGTCTGAACCTGTTTTTGATGAAACGATTAAATTCGTAGGTTTTCGAAACGCGCTGTGACGTGACTTGTACTTTTGCACGCTTAGTTGTCCGAAGCGCCGATGTTGAAATTATACAAAAGGGAGAGATAATGGGAGACATGAAACACTCGTGCGACCAGGACACCAAACATCTCTTAAGGTACAAGTGACGTTTGTCCGTGTTGTACATGTGTACATGACGCGCGGAGACCTCCACTGTTATTTTCATCAGCAAACGTTGTCTGTTTTGTGTGGAGCACTGTGCCGGGCTACAACTCTGAGCCGTGCTCTGCAGGTGGTGTGTAGCAGGTATGGACTAGACACCAGGCGGGAATCGGCTGCTGTTCAAAAGCTGCGCGCTGCTTTTCAAGAAAGTGGCCGCATGCCCGATGAAAATTATCACCAATACCTGGAGGTGTGCTTCAAAGCCGGCTCGGAAAATTCGTGCGATGGACATTTTTGCAACAGACTTCACATTTGCAGGTAATGTGTTGTTCAAGAGTGATGCCCGGATGTCGTTGTTTTGTCCTTGTGTTTGAATTGTCGGAGTGGACAGCAGACGGCTGAAACAGCTTCTGCCAGCCTATTTCTACGGATTAAAACCGGCTGTCAGAAACTACCGGTGATAAAAGCTGTCAGAAACTGACATGCTGAAGCACTGTAAATATGCTGTAAGCCAATTTAGGAAAGTGGAATAGCAGAATGACGGGATGAAATGTAAGGTCAATAATGTCAGTACAAGTATGGTGTATTGATCATTACAACTACAGTAGGAATAATGGAAGGATGATAGAAAAAAATGCAGGAGGTCAGAAATCGCTCGGAAAAAGTATAGCATGGACTGTCATTTGCATAAATTAAGTAGTGTGAATGATCCATATCCATCGATGCGATATGATGTAACTTATAACCAGAGTTGATATGGCTGTAGTATCCTGTCCGCTCTTGCTGTCCGCCCAAACACTAAGTCCGGTGTTACCGTGAGTATTTGCCCAATACTTCGGTAATAACAACAATAGCAATAATATAACGTCGGAGGCGTCCGAACATGTCGCGCCCCCGCCACGCACCCCCACCCCAGGCCAGCTCTCTCGCGCAACTGCCGCTTGCCTGGCGCGTAGGCGCCCTAAACAACTGCCATATACCACAATGACAAACCACGAATACTAAGCAGTCAGTTGGGAGAGTTTATTCCATCCGTTTTTAACCTCAGATAGTATATTCAAGATAGTATATTCTCACAAGATAGTATATTCTCACAGGGGTATCCTGGGGGGGGGGGGCATGGGGCCATGGCCCCCCAAAAAAACTGGGAGTATGTTTTGCCCCCTTCCAAAGACATTTCCAGAACTTCATAAAAGTTTCCTCTACTTACCGTCTGTTTTAACTTCGATGGTGCGGTATCAAACTTTTTTTTCGTTTAGGAAAAAAACTTCATGAAGAAAAGCTGGCAGCGATTTGAATATCAAAACAAACCGCATGTTGACGCGGCTTGGTCATACTCGGCGCAGACATCGTGTTTGATAAGTGTACTGGACCTTGGATCCCACACCAGCCAGCTGGCGACGAACGGTTGCCCCCCCCCCCCCCCCATAAAAAACTCCAAGCTAGATCCGCCCCTATATATTCTGCTGGCAGGAAAACCAGCAGACCCTGCCACGTGGTTTGGCACTGTTTGATCCCACAACTGGTGTGCTGCCGGTACCAAGCAATGCATTTTTTGGCTTTGACATACCACTGTAGCTCCAAAGAATATCATGCTGGACATCAAGAAGCAACTGCTGATGAAACACGTGGGGGTGGATTGAACATCCGGCGTTGGGAGGTCGTACCCGAATTTTCAGTGACACCCACAGCAAAACTAGAAAAACACTTTTTCATGATATCTAGTGGGGCTCATGACCCCATTGCCTCTTCCCTTTGGATCCATCATAGAAACAATGGGGAAACATGAACAGCGTGGTTTTAAAATTGACGTTGACCTGACCTGACGTTGTTGTGTCTTAGCTGTGCACTGACCATGACAGTGCGTTGTGAACGTTCGCTTAACCGTCTCGCTTATTAGTTAATGGTTGTCCGTTAAGCCATCGCACGTTGTATCGTAAAACGCCAGGTCAGTGGTCTTTGTAAACACATGACTGCTTCTGAGAAGCCATTCCCTGTCGCTCCGGCCGTTGCGTCGGAGTTGTTTTCGCGCCGCCTCTGGCCTGACTGCAGTCTCTATCGCGCATACGGGAAGTGGTTCGTCCGTTTGGGGCTGTGTGTGGACCGGACCCCTGCCTTCGATAATGCATGTGTGTACCCGCGACCGAACACGCTGGGCGCCGCTCTCCTGGGCAGCTCAGACCCGCGCACCACCAGCCGACAACAAATACCTCTGGTCAGCAGGGGGCGGAGCTTTCTTTTCAGCTGGGAGGGCTCCACCCATCCCCCCAAAAAGAACGGAAGTGGCTTAATGCCGGGAGAAATCTGCTTATCGGCGTATTTTAGGTGGAGATCGCGTCATTTCCATTGTTTAGCCCTAACTCGTTTTGTGGAACTACGCCCCTTGCCCGGTCACCAGCCGCCAGCCAGTTCAGCGCGTTACCCGGCCGTGCCCACGGGTAGAGTCGCCCCCCCCCCCGTCCCATCAATACCCTCAATGTGTCTCTAACCGTCAGGTGGGCCATTCGTCTGTCGGTCGGCAGCGCACCTTGCGCACCACGCCGCATATGCGCTAAATTCGCCATGCACAAGGCCGAGGCTGACCGGTGGAAATGGTCGCCGCGACTCCCGTCAGTCTGTAGGGCTGCCTGATTCCGCGCGCTATTCCAGGCGTTTTTGGCGCGAAACTGCACGAGACCGATCGCCGCGACTCTCGTCAGTCTGTAGGGCTGCATGATCCCGCCCGCTATTCCAGACATTTTTTTGGCGCGAAACTGCGCGAGACCGGTGGAAATGGTCGCGGCGACTCTCGCCAGCCTGTAGGGCTGCCTGATCCCGCCCACTATTCCAGACGTTTTTTGGCGGGAAACTGCACGAGACCGGTGTGCAGGTTCGGACATGATCTTCACACCACGCACAACAACAGCGTTCTGAGTCGTCACAAGGTGACCAAGCTACGTGATGCTGCAATTCTGAGCCTGCTTCGTGAGAAGTACCCGGCACGACAAGAGCAGGTATCAAACTCTCATCGATCTTTGGGAGTGCTCATGGAACCTGCTTCAAGCGGCCCCGAAAGGCATGGTTTCGCCCATCTTCAAAGGGATGGCATTTGTCCGTGCCGCTATCTTTCGAATTCGGCTGAGCTGGCGACATTCTTTTGTTTTGTCTAAATGCGTTTAGTAATCGCCGTCGCTTTCACTGTCTCGCGCCCCTCTCTACCCCTCTACTACTACCTATACCTCTACTACCTCTCTACTCTCTATCTCTCTCTCCCTCTCTCTCTCTACCTCTCTCTTCCTCTCTTCCTCTCTTTCTCACTCAGTCACTCACACACACACTCACACACACTCACACACACACACACATGTCCGCGTGTCCTCAGGGTGGTGGAGGTTCTGTGGCTGGCGGGGGACCCCGGCAGAGACGCGAGCAGCAGCGTGGCGCTGCCGGCGGTGGAGACCAGATCAAAGCCAGAGGCAGCGGAGGACAGGCTAGCGGTGGAGGCCAGATGAAGGGCATTGCCGAGGAGCTGCAGTGTCCGGTCTGTCTGGACATGCTGCAGAGAGCCACCACGCTCGGCTGCGGACACACCTTCTGCGAGGCATGCCTGCAGGAGGTCCGCGAAAACGACCCCAAGTGTCCGATGTGTCGTCAGCGTATAACTTCTTCGATCCGCTCCGTTACGCTGGACAACATCATCAGCAGCCTCGCCGCCCACCGCTGACGCCTGAGGACCAGCGAGGCTCAGAGATTTGGGTAGCATTAAGGAACTCTCAAAGATAACTGCATACGTTACGTGTGAGAAGGAAGCCTTCAGCAGCAACCGAACGTGGTTTGCGATAATCCCAGAAGTCTGGAGGCTCGCGTTCTGTCGTGGTGCACTGGACCTCATCCACGCAGCATGCGGGAGCACGCGGTTGTTCTAGCTCATCCACGTATGCTTCGGATGTCATTCTGGGACTTGTGAGACGTTCGAGTTGTCAAGAAGCCAGCAGGTCGCTGGTAACGGCGATGACTTAAGTGGGAGGTTTTGTCTCCTTGGAAGCGATCTCCTGGCCAAAGCGCCGGTTGAGTGATACACAGAGCCGCGCCGTCCTGTGACGGCGGCCAACGCCGAGTCGCAGCATCGTAGCTTGTTCGATGCGCTTTGACCCGGACCTCACCGGTCCACAAACGGCGCCGCTGGCATGGTAATAGTTTCAATGCAAGGGGTAGAGCGGAGTCATGTCCGCGGCCACCTCAGCATACACGCAGTAATTTGTGAGGGATGCTTTATTACATGCACTTCATCGCGAAAACTGAGCACGTGTCACTTCTATCCTGTACGGTATGTTGTGATTTGGCGATATCTAAGTACGCGCCGACGTTATCAATAGAATGCCAGCCGGCACAGGATGAGTGGTCGCTTACGCTTTGCTACCTATCCAGACCAAGTGGTGTTTTTGTAGCATCGGCCGCCGTGTCCATGCCAGCCTTGATGGACGCGGCAGTTACGCATGCTGGTGCTAATCAGTGTGACGGACCACCGACTCGGAGCATCCGACCAGACGCCGTTGCCGTGACCCGTGCGGGACAGTCGGAGCGGGGCGGCTGTACTCGAGCACCTGTCGGCTGACACCTGGCAATACACCGAGCTATGCGCCCGAGTGTGTCGTACGGATTCGCCAAACGCACTCGTGGGGAGCGTTTGATGAATGGGAATTCAGCCAGCAAACGTCATGACGGCAGTGGGGGCCAAGTCTTTGTCAACGACGGCCTGCTGCGGGACAACGATCAGGCTGGTCGCCCGGCGCGGGCGCTCCCGCTAAGCGGACGTCGGCCACCCGCTGACGAGCCAGGGGAGTTCTGCACGCGCTGCCGTCGAGCGTCACGACAGGGCAGGCCGGCGCCGGACTGGCCTGACCCCGCCCCTCCCGCGGGGAGACCGGAAGTCCGCTGAGTCCGTCACGTGCGCGACGAGGTGCTCGGCGCCCCACCCGTCTCTTGGTGTCGGCCAGCCCTGCGCATCCATCCGTGCGACTCAAACGATCCTTTGTCCGACAGGCAGAATATGACCATAACGTGTTCCGACCCGGCTCCATCCCGTTGTATATAACCAGCTTCCACCCAAGACCGTGTATTTTGAAACGACACACACACGGAATGTTGAGCGAGAAAACGAGCACACACAGGTTAAGACCAAACGTCAAAATTTGCAGCCATGCCCATCTTCCATTAAATATCCATAACTGGCCTTAAGGTGCCCGCACGCGGGCGTTGCTAGACAGCATCAGACGGTGATGATCATAATTCGTTCTGCATAAGCACCGCCGACTCCATCCGCTCTAGCACTGGGTATTCTGGGACGTCACTGATATAAGCTGATTTCTACGATAACGAACTAAATATACCCTTAGAAGGACCTCCCCGGTCAGCACAACGGCATGAAATAAATATCGACACGTAACGGAACACCCTGCACGCGTCCGGACCGGACATCTAATGACTTGAAGTGTACTCAACAGAACGTCCGCGAGCCGGCTGCCTCAAGTGCTCGCGTCACACGACCGCGCCCCGCTGCCCCGCCCGCTACAACTAACAGGTGCCGAGGCGTCCGTAACAGGCTTAGCTCAAAACACGGAGTTTCAGACCGTGCGCAAATCTAGCACAGCAAGTGGCGAGAGCGGACCAACCGCGGCGCGGCGCCGACTGGCGCTCGTAAGTCCTGTCTCTCGGGTGGCCCCGGGTAGCCATGCGCGCACGGCGGGGTCCGCTGGCGGCCGGGACGCGGGCGGAGAGCGCGGTCCCGATGCGACGTGACCCCCAGGGCACAGCCAGAACCACGAGCTGCAGCGCGCCTCCGACGCCGGACGTTGCCAAATGCACCCGCCGCTCACGGCTTGTAATGCGATGCACGGGTGATATTTCAATCTTAGGACGCTCAAATCACATAACACGTGGGGTACGTCACCAACCGACACGCTCCTGGGCGACCCTCCAGCTCGCCGGTCATCGCGGTCTGCGTCGGGTAAGAGCCAAACCGAAACATCTTCAGCGACCCTCTCGCTCGCCGGTCATCGCGACCTGTGTCGGGCACGAACCGAGCCGAAACATTCCTCAGCGACCAAGTCATCCACCTTCAGTTGTCGTGACCACTCCTCTATACGATGGCCAGGCCGCGCTCCCGCGGGCTGCCGCCTGAGCAGGCCCACACGCGGGCACGGTCGCCCCGCGCCTGTACGGTCCTGGAGCGGGCCGCGGACCTGCGACGGCACAGGGCGGCTAGCGTTCCATACCAGGGGTGGGCACGAAGCCAGGCGCCGGCTTCGAACTGAATCCGAAGCCAACATAATGACGTGAAGCTGAGGTCGAACCCGCTGGCTTCGGAGTTTGGAGCACACAGGGCGAAGGCGAACCCAGTGGCTTCGGCTTCTTAAAATTTGAAGCCGGATCCGAAGCCGGTGGCTTTGAAATTTGCACACGCGAAGCCAAAGTCGAGACTTCAAATTTCAAACTTCAAACTCACGCAAAGCCCAAAACCAAACTTTCGGTACAATCCCAAGGCCGGGATCGAAGCCGTATCTAGCGTACGACGCTGGTTTGCGGAAGCAATAACAAATTCGCGCCTGCTCATACCGTATAGGATCAGGACAAATACCAGGGCATGGCGGAATCAATGCGAAATGTGTTTGCATTACTGGTGGGGTGTACATTTGCCGCGTAAACGTCCTCGTCGTGCCTGTATGAAGTGTTCCAGAAGTGAGCTTTGCAGCCGTCGTCAGCTGCTGACTGCTGCTGAAAATGGCCAGCTGATTTTGGTTTTCAGCTGTGCATGCGTTTAAGCTTCGGAAAATGGGTGGAATAATAGTGTCAGGATGGGAAAGACCGTTTTTGCGGCGTAGGCCCGCATCTACAGTGTAAAAATCACTATGGCATACCTGAAGCCGGAGTCATGATTCAAAAAAGATTCGAGGCCGAAGCCGGCTAGGTGTTAAAAATGACGCAAAGTCAAGCCGACGCCAACCATTTAAAATGGCACGAAACCAAAGCCGAAGCCATCAAAGCCAAGCCGCAAATGCGAAAGAGACGAAGCCGTGGCGGAGGCCGACCTCATACTCATGCCTGGTCCACGCACCGAAAAGCGGTGATCCAAGGTTCAGGTTCAGCGAGCTCAGAGCAGCACAGATTCACTGAAACCCGAGCGGGAGCGAGAGTCCCTAAGTCGCACTACATCTTACGCATGTTTGCGTGCGAGGCATGAGTGTACAAGTTTCTACCACCACAACGGCCAAGCCCTTGCGTTTCACCGTTTTGCCTCAATTCTAAGCGACCTAAAAATCAAGATGCTTACAAGAGTCAAGAATGGTCTTGTTTTCGGTAATGTTGCTGCACGCTGGAATTTAGAAACGGCATCCACCGAAGTTTTGTTTGAGTAACTATCTCCGTATAGAAACAGCAGAATCCGCGTTACCCATAGCCGATCATAATGGTGCTGGTCCTGAAGTTCGAAAACCGGACCGGAACGGCTCACAACCCCAACGAAGGACCATATCGTTAACAGCCAGACATCCCACAGCTGAGAGTGGTTCACAGCCCAGACTTGGGATTCGAAAGGTCCTCTGTCCAAATCGGTCCAGGCTTACACCCGGTCCGGACAGGAACGGCTGGGGCCCGCCCCGTGCAGCAGGGGGAAGGGGGAGCACGCGGTTACTTGTGCACGCAGCAGCACGGTTCGTCAACACATGGGCGCTGCTCGGCCGTGGTCGAGAGGAGGGACAGAGCAGGCTCTGGTGGGACACCAACGTGAAATGGCGAGCAGGATACGGTGCGATACTTTTTAAAAGACAATTTTAGATTGCCGAACTATTTCGCCCAACAGTGCCGCTGCCGGTGCAGGGGTCCGTGACCTCTCATGAAATGAAGTAAGGGGGACAACCTTTTCAGGGCCCCGCCCGGGCGGTACTCGAACCGTACCCGAAACTGAGCCGGACTGCCTGTGGAACGACGTCACTGCCTTGCAGCGGTGCCGCAGTCCGCTGGCACTGAACCCACCACACCAATATTAGTTAAGTGCAACCATGAACAACCATTGTAGCCTACATAACATAACCAGAGAGGCAATACTGACATTGATGGTGGGCTGACCCTCCCACCGCACCCTCAAATGTGTTGATGGCAGGTTGGTTCACCTGTGGTCGTCAGAAGGGGCCCTATGGTCACGGTGTGAGGCGACCCGGATCCGATCCAAACACGCCTACATCACTTGAGTAGGCTTCAGAAGTGACTGAACTATAGCGAAACGGGTACCCCGGCCGGCTCTAATGACGTCACAACACAACAATCCCACCCCAGCCGGGTTCACGGGCCAGTGGCGCCACCGCCCCTTCGAACCGTAGCGCTGCCAGCTTCGACGAACTTCCACCGCCCATATCACCACACTGTTCCAGCTCCTCGCGAGGATCACGTGGACGTCGTCACATTGCGGGGATCACAAGCCGGGCCCTTCCTCAGAATCACGCTGGGACCCCGGTGGACTGCAGCCGGGGTCACATGCGGGGCCCCCAGCCAGAATCCCACCGGGACCCGTAGCGGACTGCAGCCGGCGATCACATGGACTCAGGCAGGTTGTCGAGCCGCTGGGCGTCCAGCAGGAAGAGGCGGCGGCAGAGCAGCGCCGCGATCGCCGCCACCAGCACCACGATCAGCGTGCCGCTCGCCCAGGTCGCGTCCTCGCCGGCCGGCGCCAGCGCCGCCGGCGGCGGCCGAGCCGACTCAGGCTGCCGCCGCCGCTCCGGAGGTGGCGCCACCGGCGGCGCCGGTTCGGCAGCGGCGACCGGCGGCGAGGAATCGGCAGAGTTCTCAGCGGCCGGGCTGGCCTCCTTCGGCTTCTCACCCTGAGAACAACACGGGCATCTCAGTCTGAGAACAATCGCGGGCTCAGAATCTGTGTCAGAGTCCTGGGAACGTCGCAATGCGAACACTGCCATAGATTTAGTTGCGAATTTGGTAAGCACTGGAACCTGCAGTCGTGACTGGAACACTTAGGGGCAATCAATGTTATCTGAGGTATTCATGATACCGGCCAGCTGCTCCTTTCCTGCCACAGACGAAGGGCTCAGGGTCGAGAAACATTGCGCCTCCTTTCCTGCTTAAGGTGAAGGCCTCAGGGTCAAGAAATGCTGCGCCTTCTTTCCAGCCATAGGCGAAGACCTCAAGTCATGAAATACTGCGCATTCTTTCCTGTCTCTCCATGCAAATTGACATCCATGCAGCGTTTCTATGCAGCATGGTCACTGGCCACATTTTGGAACGCCGTTAAGTTCTTGACGAAAACTTTCCTTCTCCCAGAACCAAACTTCTCTCCGGTAGTTTTTCCTTCCCCGCCTACAATATAAACTTCCAGTAGCTTTTCTGCGTCCCACCTCCTGAATCCGCAACCTGAAAGTTCACCTCCGCCACCGGCTGACCCCCAACTCCCCCTCCCATACCCTTCCCCCATTCCCCAGTAGGCATGAGCAGCCATCCACCGCCTAGCCCGTCCAAGCACGCCCTGCCCTCCCAGCTGCTGACCTGGAAGTTGACCTCGGCGGCCAGCTGGCGCGCCTCTCGCTGCCGGCTGTCGTGACCGCTGCGGTCGTCGGCGGCGGCCAGCAGCGGCGGCGGCGGCCCGCAGGCGGCGCACTGCCAGCGCAGCGAGGCGGCCGCCAGCGCGCGCCGCTCCGCCTCGCCGTACTCCAGGCTGGCGATGGCGCCGCCGGCCGGCGTCGGCAGGAACCCGATGATGGCCATGAGCGCGGTGCGGATCGACCAGCTGGGCCGCCACGACTCCGGGTGGTGGCCGGAGATCGACAGGCAGATCTTCTTGCCCGTCTCGAAGCGGCCGTTCGGCTGCCGGGCACGCCAGGGCGGGCGAGGTCAGGGGCGGGGCGGGGCAGGAGCGGCGGCGGGGTGGGGCGGGGCGAGGACAACACGACCGTCACTGTCACTGGGGTGCCGGGTCAGTCACAGCCCCTGCGAACCGGCGGACCGTAACGGGCCTCCTACCGTTGTCGCCTGCCCGGTGACCGACGCAGCTCAGAGGCAAATGAGCCGGCTCACCCCGGCACCACGCCCCTCAGCCGAAAACGCCCGGCACCCCCTCGAATTTAGCTTGGAACCATTTTCTATTGTGGATTTCAGCCTCGGAGTATTGGAAACGATTGGTTTTGGCTTCTACTAAGTTTTGAGACATTTTTAATAGATAAATTCCGGTTTGGCTTCGATCAGCTTCGACTAAGGCTCGGCTTTATCTGATCTTGAGATGCTGGTTGCTGCTTTGAAGTGGTGATACTTTTACTGCAGTGGCAACTTTGCTCCCAAGGACAGTTCCGATCGTCCATTCAGTTCCACATGCCACCTTTCAAATCCACATGACATGACACCACGACCTTTTAAAGATGCGCGGCATACATGACTAAAAATAAGAAGCTGATTCTTCTCAGAACCACCTGTAGACCACCCAAAAACGGCCAGTAACTAACTGTCCTGAACATCGTGTACTAGTTCGCCAAATCCTTGTTACATTGTTTCGTCCCATACAGTTTTAGCAGGTGCAGAAAAACTTTTGATTTCGGAAAACAGCATTCGCGTGGATTCAGCTTCGACCTCGTCATTTTAAAGTGATGGGATCAACTCTGGCTTAGCGCTCCCTGACCTCGAGGCACGAACTTCGACCCCGCCTTCGCATGTAAAAAGTTGCAGAAGTCCAAAGCCACCGGCTTCGGACCCAAAAAATGTGGCGTTTTTGCGTTTTGCTCTGCACCTGCTCCGAAACAAACTCTTAATAAAACAAAAACTCGGATTCAAAGTCAATCTTCCTAAACGCAAAATCATCCGGCTATGGCTTCGACTTCAGCTTCACCTTATTGTTTTGGCTTCAGATTCTTCTTCGAAACCGGGAGTTCAGCCTCGCCCCCCCCCCCCCCCCCCCCCTATGCCTAGCAGCAACCAAGATATAACAGCACCACGATGCCACCAAACCGCCAGTGCGGTACCATTACGCTGCTCAACGCCTACAAAGTGAAGGTATCACACTGAGGGTATGACTGCACCATGCAAACAGCGTCATATTTTCTCGACGAAAAAATGTCTGGCGTTAGCGATGCAACCGTACTACGCTGGCGGCGCGGCGCCTCATCTTCACGGTGTGACGGTGTACAGCGTCACGGCATCCGAGCATGCCGACAGTCGACGGCGTCACGGCATCCGAGCACACGGACAGTCGACGGCGTCACGGCATCCGAGCACACCGACAGTCGGCAGCGTCACGGCATCCGAGCATGCCGACAGTCGACGGCGTCACGGCATCCGAGCACACTGACAGTCGGCGGCATCCCGGCATGCGAGCACACCGACAGTCGGCAGCGTCACGGTATCCGAGCACGCCGACAGTCGGCAGCGTCACGGTATCCGAGCACACTGACAGTCGACAGTGTCACGGTATCCGAGCACACCGACAGTCGACAGGGTCACGGTATCCGAGCACACCGACAGTCGGCGGCATCCCGGCATGCGAGCACGCCGACAGTCGGCAGCGCCACGACGGTATCCGAGCACGCCGACAGTCGACAGCGTCACGGCATCCGAGCACACCGACGGTCGGCGGCATCCCGGCATGCGAGCACACCGACAGTCGGCAGCGTCACGGTATCCGAGCACGCCGACAGTCGACAGTGTCACGGCATTCGAGCACGCCGACAGTCGACAATGTCACGGTATCCGAGCACACCGACAGTCGGCGGCATCCCGGCATCCGAGCACACCGACAGTCGACAGTGTCACGGTATCCGAGCACACCGACAGTCGACAGCGTCACGGCATCCGAGCACACCGACAGTCGGCAGCGTCACGGTATCCGAGCACACCCACAGTCGGCGGCATCCCGGCATCCGAGCACACCGACAGTCAGCGGCGTCCCGGCATCCGAGCACACCGATAGTCGGCAGTGTCACAGTATCCGAGCGCGCCGACAGTCGGCAGTGTCACGGTATCCGAGCACACCGACAGTCAGTAGTGTCACGGTATCCGAGCACACCGACAGTCGGCAGCGTCACGGGCAGTTCGCAGCCAGCACGACGCTGCCGTCCAGTCAGCACCGCAACGACACCAGCCATCGTACCGTGAGCATGATGATGCTGGGCGGCTTCATCGGGTAGTCGGCCGGCAGCAGGATGCGGCCGTGATAGACGCCGCCCTCGAACGCCGTGTCGTCGGGCCCGCGCACGGTGAAGTGCCACTCGAACAGGTTGTCCTCCAGCGGCTGGGCGAAGTAGTCCGCTGTCGGCTGGTGCAGCTCCTTGGCCTCGCGCATCAGCCGCTTCACCGCTGCCGGGACAACAGCGCCGTTCAGACCGCTGCAGTGTTGCGATCGGAAACGTGGCGGCTCTAATGCCATCTCTGTGCGACTTCCAGAGCCCCTGACTATGGGCTGTAGTATGAAGGTCCATATTGTAGTGGTTAAACAGTGTGCCCAGAAAACCAAAAGTACAGAGTTAGATCCCTGTGATGCCCATCATTCCTGCTGGGGTGAAAGGCACCTGATGTTATAACGCTGCTACAGCTGAGCGTGCCGTAAAAACCCCAATGATGATGACACTCTGTGATGCTGATCATGGTCCTTCCTAACAGCAGGTGACTGGCACAAAAAGCTAGAGGCCAAGCAGCACATGGCAGCAGCATTAGCTGTGCACATGGGCACAACCACCACAGGGATAGTACAGTCCAGACCACAGTAACTTATGGCTACATCCAAATGTACTTGTGTTCATCCATAGAAAACTATATCAAAACAAAGCTGATCCACAACAACATTTCAGGTGTTGTTGCATCACCAGCAGCACAAACTTCACATGTTACATTCCCTGGTTCTTATTAGATTGCTGGTACCTAGATATAGTGCACCACATTTGGACTCATAATTACATTGCAGTTGCCTTGAGCAAATAACCAAAAAGTTGGTGGTGCAGCTAGGTTCATTCTCTTGCCTAATGGATCAAAGTCTGTTATTTATATATAACACAACATATATAATGCCAAATTGCAAATAATGGGGATATAGCTATATCCATACAAAAAATGTATTTATTAGGCTGCTAACCACTCAACCAGGACATTTAGAGATTTCATGGGCATCCATTCCACCACACTCAATTTTTTTTTACATCCATGCTGATGCCTTTTTACAACATGATGTTCCCTGTGCAATAGGCAAAAATCAAGTAAAATTCATTACAAGAAAATGCTGCAAATAGCAGCAAGCCACATTAAACTGTCCTACAGCTATCATACCCTGAACATAGCAGCAAGCCATGTGAAACTGTCATATATGTCTGAACAATATATGAAAGCAATGGGAACTTATTTAAGTTATCAATATACAAAAGGAACAATAACTTGGAATAACTGTAAAAGAAATAATAACTGAGTGCTGTGGATTCCTGCATTTTTAGCAGACCTTTAGACTGTAGGACTACTCGAATTACAGCCCATGATATAGCATAATAATCAGAAATCAGAGGAGGCAAGATTCCTGATATTGGTCAAACAAAATACAAAGGTTAGTGAACACCATCTCACATTTCTTAAGTATGATCTTCACAACCTTTCTACACAATTTTCTTTTTTGGAAATTACGAGAGCCACATTTAAGCCATATTATCTACTTTCAGATACAATTTTCTCGCATCTCAATATTTCAGAAAATCTTATGTGACAATGGCTGTCAGCAAGGTGAGCAAAACACAGTCACAGGTACATATAATAAAGTGTTTGAAAACATACTCTAAGCTGTGAGCCACAGACAAACAATGGGTGACAACACTGCCATCATCAAGCATCTCACAGTACAGAAATTGCCCCAAATAAAAATAGATGATGACACAACCATCATTTAACACTTAGAAGTGGCAGACATAAATTATGGGGGGGAGGGGGGCTGAGATATGGCAGTCATGGGGGAGGGTAAGGACATTTCAGCTCAATAGGGGACTACATCCCCATTTACTTAGACAAGCCATTCTCAATATACTTGCTTTAATTGAGTAAATCCGTCATTCAAAAGGAGGAAAATACCTATTCACACCACATTACTCAAGCTTGAAAATGGACAATATGCGTTTGGCACGGGCCGACAGGTTACCTGGGCTCTTAGTGTTGTATTTGGCTTCCATGCTGCGGTGAAAATAAAGATGAAAGCTTACTCGATGACACAAAAAAATCACACTGCAACAGCCCAACCGCGCCTCCCACCCCAACTTCGTGTTTACGTTTATGCGACCGAAGTCTTAGCGTAGAAAGCCGCCCCCTGCTCCCTCGTGTGGGACACCTATTTGCAACGTACACGAAATTTTCAGCTGATCGTCAGCTGATTAGAGTTTAAGAGAATTACATGTGTCCTGTGCTTAAAATAAATAAGACAGGCATGTAGCGATTGTTTTTTTCGGTGTCATTACTAAATTATCTATTACAGTTTTATTAATCACGTCCTACATTAGTTAAGTAAGTTATGTTAAGCGTCCAGATATATTAGATACTTAAAACTTACCCGGCCGGGAGGAGGGGGGGGGGGGAAGTTGAATTCGATGACACAGGTAACATGGAGCACTTGCAGTGGCAAGCAGTTTTTGGGTACCTGTGTTTACATGAATTCGGCATTCTTTGTGCAAAATTGAAGTTTTGATCTACCAAGATTCGCAATCTAGGTCAGATCAAAGCGGTCAACCTTTAAAAAACTTTCTCCACACATTACTTGCTGTGGGGTCATTTGCTGTTGTTCGAACTTCGTGTAACAATAGAACATGACAAAACGTGCGATCTGTATGTTTCAGATTTTCGGAAACTGCGGGGTCAATGACCTGATGCCGAGCCAATTGCTGCTATTTTCGTAAATAATGGAAGTTTGTACGCATTTTTGTGTAGTTTTGATACTGCATATGGGGAAAAGTACACCAATTTACATGCACAACCATCATATGACCACAGAACACATGGCCTTTGCCCAGGTCATGACCTATCTTTATGGACGCCTTCAGGTCTGCTTAACACATGCTGAGCTTATAGAATATGTCTTTTTAGGTAATTTTAAACACAGAATGCGGATACCGCACCGAATACGTGTTGAGATGAAATTATAATGCATTTTGAGGCCACAATTTACCATGGATTGTCGTATGAGGTCATCTGAGGTCAACGACCCATTTTTCCAGTGGCGGAGAGGCTAGATGGCGCGTGTTACCACCACCTTATGGAGGTTGTGAAGCTGATGACGTCTAATTTCGTGTATCAACGTACCTGTCTTCAGGTTGTTGCAAGTAGGTACATTGCCAAGCGCCGAAGGGACTGTGCATAATGTTGACAACGGCATGCGATCTTGAGAATCGGTAGATATCCAATACAGTGTTTGTGACCACAAAAAAAGTATTGCACCTGTCACATGGTCTCGGTGAGCACTCGAATTTTTTTCAGTTAGATAGTTATAAATTTGACCTAAGTTGACTTCAGATCAGCAGCGCAGGCAGGGGGCATAGGGGCACGTGTCCCCCCCCCTTAAGTTCCGGGGCCCTTCGGGTCTCCGGAACCTGCGATTAAGGGCCTGAAAAGTCAGCCGGAGGTCTCTTTCGGGAGCCCCGGCCCTTGGGGCTGGGCACTCCAGTGCCAGCCGGAGGGCTCTGCGCGCATATCAGGGGTCCACTGAGTCGATGAGGGCCTATATTTCGGTCAGACTCCACCAGTAACGCACAGTGGGCTCCGTGGCGGCATGTACCAGAGCACCCACTTCCCAAGCAGTAGCAAGGCTGGAGCCAGCGATGTACATTGCTCGGGACCCTACAGCGCCTAACAGGGGCCCTGTACTGTCAAGGGGCCCCAAGTCGCCCAGAGGCAGTGTTAGAGGAAGCCAGAAGAGCCTAGGGGGTCCACGGGTCCGACGATCAAGGGCCTGACTGGGGGTCTAAGGGCATAAAAGGCTGGTCAGAGTCTTATTCAGAGGCCCCGACCTGCGAAGACGGACCCTCAAATAACGTTCAGAGGGCCCTTCGCGCCGATCGAGAACCCCCTGAGTCGCTATGTCCGTTGGCCAGGCACTACCGGTACCGCACAGTCGGATCCGTGTCGGTATGGGCCTGAGGACCCACTTACCAATCAGCCACAAAGCCGGTGCCAGTGATTTACACTGGTCGGGCCGTTGTGTCTGTTAGGGGCCCACAGTGTCTAACAGAGGGTCCTGTGCTCGCATAGAGCCCCGCGCCGATCAAGGGCAGTGTTTAATGGACCCGAAGAGGGGCCCGGGTGGCCCACCGGAACCGACCATCAAAGGCCAGGTTGGATGGCATAATGAACCGCAGGACTGGCTGTAGGTCACATAAAGAATCGCGGCCTGCAGGGTAGTGACCTGAAATATCAGTCATCGGTCCTCTTACAACATTTGAGGAACCCCTGAGACAATGCGGGTGCATAAGTTGGTTACAGAACACGAACACCGAGCAGTCGGCTCCATGTTCGCTCGAGCCCCTGAGACCTATTACCCAAGCAGAAACGAGGCCGGGGTCAGCGATTTGCAATGCTCAGGGTCCCTGACACAATAAGGGGCTCCTGTTAGGTTACGTGCCGCAGTGCCGAACAGTGGTCCTCTGGCGGCAGGTGGCCCCGGGTCGGAACGGTGTTTGAGTGGGCCCGAAGAGCGGCCGAAGGGTCTGTCGAGACTTAAGATTGAGGGCCCGATGGGATGGCTGAGGAGTCTGAAGGGCTCGCTGTAGGTCGCATTAAGCGCCTCCGTCCACAAGGCCGTAATCTCAAATGTCAGTAAGATGAGCTCTTGCACCGATAGCGACCCCTGAGACAAAGCGCTCCTGTATTTCGACCAGAGATCACGGACAACGAACAATCGCTTTCATGTCAGCTCTGTGGGCCTATTTCCAAGCAGAGACGAGGCGGCGCCTGCGATTTACTATGGTCGGTCTTCTGTATCGTCCAGGGGTCTACAGTGCCTAACAGGGCATTCTGCGTCAACAAGGGGTCTCGAATCGGTCAGGGGAAGATTTCCCCAACAGGGGCGGGGACGGGAGCCCGAATGCCAGAGGGTCCCCTGGGTTGGTCTGGGTCCTCTCACAATCAAGCGAAACATAAGAGCTTATGAGTGCTCACATTAAGGTACTAAAAAAGTCCTTCGCCAGTCAGGGTCCCCAGTACCGAACGGTGGACGTTCCAACCCTATTCCAATGTGGATCCGTTAAGCCTAACTGGAGTCAATGTGTTATATATTTGATCACCTGCGGCGAGCAGAGATATGGTCGCGTTAATGACGGTACATACGTCGATCCGAGGTCAACTGGGTGGGTCCGAAGGCCTCCCGTGTCAGGGAGCGGACCAATAGGATACGATGTATCTTTCTAATGGCCTCCGGATCGCCCAGGGGATACCGCCCTGCGTCGCTAGAATGACGGCCGGAAGACACACCGCGGTTGGACAGAATAACCCTGCAGCCCCTGACCGTGAACAACAATGTGTCCCGTGGTGTTATACTTCAGAGAGACCCTTTACCGGAAAAAATAAGGGGTCTCATTAGTGTTGAATGGAGTGGGACGAAATTAGTTAAAAACACGCGCAGCCATCTAATGTTTCCCGGAGAACGTTTATTATGTTGCAGAATCGACAAGTGAAACCAATAACATTATGCAGGTTGTACGTTACAAATAATGCATTAATTAATTTATAACGGCCAAATTATATATTATGCATCACAAATATTCACAGGCTCGAGCCTCCCTGCCGGGTGCCGCTAGTGTGGTTAACGCGCCTGCGTAAACCACTATGTCTGGGGAACCAAGGGGGGTTCGATTCCCCACGGTGCCCGCCCTTCCCACCAGGGTGACAGGCTGGTGGTGCCATATATATAGCCCCAGCAGTCGAAGGCGTCATAAAGCCCCACTGTCACGCCCGTAATCTCGGGGAGCAAGATAGAGATGGCTTGGGTCGCAGTTTTCGTACGACCGGACGGCGTTGGCCACTGGAAGTAAGGACAGGGAGCAGGCGTCGAGCGCGCAACGATGCCCATTGTGAAATAATGCTTCTAGATGTCTTTCAAAATTCAGTCATGCAGTTCAAGAACTCTACTGAGCGAAGCTTGTTACCAGCTTTGAGGATGTCATCTGGACAGTTTAAGAATTACAACAGTATGGAAAATGAGAATTAGAATTTTACCCTGCTCTTCCAGTTCCGCGACCAGATGTGAGCACCACTTTGTGGTGCTGTAAAGACTGATACGTTATTAAAGCTGGTCTAAAAACCGCAAGGGTGAAATATATGCCCGGGATATTTACGTCGACAATGTCATGTCATTACCGGATATAGGCGCGAAGTGCTTATTTTACGTTTGGGCGCCGGCTGTTCCCATGTGTCAAGAAAGGGCCAACGCCAATCTGCATTACGACCATCCGACATAGGCCTCCGCATGTTAACTGGATCAAAGTGTGTTCAGTTCCACGTGCAGCTTCATCCCGTTTACCGCTCTCGACACTCCACGCCGAATTTTATGACTCCCAGTTATTATTATGCACACCGTTCCTGCTGCAAATTATCTCGTTGAAGACTGCTGTTTACGGTCCAGTGCAATACGCGCTTAGCTCTACGACACCAAAGAAGCTCAGAGTCGATGCCGATATTTTTATTTAGTTTAACCAGCAATGCCACTGATTACAGACAACATGAGATAAGGGTACCGGACGTATCAATAACGCTGCGGTCTGGTAACCCCGGCCTGGTAGCTGCGGTCTGGCAGCCCCGGCCTGGTAGCTGCGGTCTAGCAACCGCGGTCTGGCAGCCCCGATCTGGCAGCCCCAGCCTGGCAGCCGCGGCCCGACGGGGCTGCCATCCGCTCGTTAAAAAGACACCGGCCGCGAGACCAGCCGCCGCGTCACGCACAGCACCAACAGGGCCGCACACGCAGCCCCTCACTGGGCCGAACCCCCAGCGGGACCTGCACACGCAGCCCCTCACCGGGCCGAACCCCCAGCGGGACCTGCACACGCAGCCCCTCACCGGGCCGAACCCCCAGCGGGACCTGCACACGCAGCCCCTCACCGGGCCGAACCCCCAGCGGGACCTGCACACGCAGCCCCTCACTGGGCCGAACTGGCCGTCAGCGCGTGAGGCGCGGCTGCGTGGCTGGCCCCGCTGACGCGTGCAGCCGTCGGATGCGGGTTTGGACGGGTCAGCTAACCGATGTTGCCACGTTTTACAGCATAGCCTTGCAACGAGTTTGTGAGCACAATTGGTACTTCGCACCTTGTCTTGCCAGCACGACGAGCTATATCGAACAAAACCATCTCCAGCGGGTGGACAAAGCGCAAAAGTATTCAAAAATCCCAAACTACCGACGGCCATGACGCAGCATTCCTCCAGAAATGGTAGCAATCGAAATCCAGCACGACCATGCTGTGCATGCCGCAACACACCTTTACGACGCGCTTCCCCCACCCACGTCACGTCACGAACAGCACCGAACCCTGCCGAGGTGGGCACCAGATACCCTGCATTGACATCACTGCCGCGGCCGCGCCTCGGTGGCACGCCGCCTCACTCGCTCCGAACCGGCGCTTCTGACGGTCAGCTACTGGCAGTTGAAACGCAACAGGCTACACAACTGCCGCCCGCAGCCCTACACTGGCTGCCGGCACAGACAGTGGAAGTTGGAATACAATAAGTACGGGTTGGAGGGACCAACTATGGGCTGTTTCCACACTGTATAGGGACGATCACACTTTGCCAACATTTTCGCGCACAAATCTCTCACGCTCTCACCACACGGCCATGCAGTACGTTGCCAACCTGTAGACAGGCTGCAGATCTTTCCAATATTAGTCATCGCGAAGACGCACAGATACACAAAAGCTACGGGAACTTTTCTCACACCATAAACTTTCATTCATCCGTCTCATTTTCATTTCACGCTTCATCCGTTGGTCATCCACCACATAAGTGACAGACCTCGTTCCACCAGCAAATATCAGTACGAGATGAGCAGATTCGTCGCCGCCATGGCTGACAGCACGGGCGCCGCGCCGCCCGCACCGCGACAGCTGACCGCGGGACGGTCGACAGCTGACCGCGGTACGGCCGACAGCTGACCGCGGGACAGCCGACAGCTGACCGCGGTACGCCCGACAGCTGACCGCGGTACGCCCGACAGCTGACCGCGGTACGACCGACAGCTGACCGCGGGACAGCCGACAGCTGACCGCGGTACGCCCGACAGCTGACCACGGTACGCCCGACAGCTGACCGCGGTACGGCCGACAGCTGACCGCGGGACAGCCGACAGCTGACCGCGGTACGACCGACAGCTGACCGCGGGACAGCCGACAGCTGACCGCGGTACGCCCGACAGCTGACCGCGGTACGGCCGACAGCTGACCGCGGTACGCCCGACAGCTGACCGCGGGACGGCCGACAGCTGACCGCGGTACGGCCGACAGCTGACCGCGGTATGGCCGACAGCTGATCGCAGTACGGTCGACAGCTGACCGCGGTACGGCCGACAGCTGACCGCGGTACGGCCGACAGCTGACCGCGGTACGGCCGACAGCTGACCGCGGGACGGCCGACAGTTCCTGCGTCGCGTTGGTGACCAGCAGGGGCCGGGAGTCGACGGCCGTTTACGCGTACAGGCGCTCGATCACCTGGCTGTATTTCTTGTGGATCACGGGCCGCTTCATCTTCATCGTCGGACCTGATGAAAGCGGCACTGCATGATCTAGCTTGTTCGGATGGTTTACCTCGACGACCCATGGCAGCAGTGCATGGTATTTTTTTAATGCGTGTCACTTGACCGCCATCATTGACCTACATGGTTCACAATTTAGTCACATTTTTGCCAAACAACCTTTTGTAAGAGAAAAACATGCTGTACATATCTGTTGCAATGCACCGACTGTACCATTAGTCCACCAGATAATGGGTTGGAGGATCGCAAGCTTTCCATCATGTCATGTCAGGCCTATGACGTTCACATGTTTTGTACTTAAAGAGCGTTCTGGCCCCTACCCTACTCAAAGAAGAACTTCTCAACGTTATATCGGCGCTACACGTGGACAATCACAATACATAAATATGTATACGATATATCATTTAATATATATATATATATATATATATATATATATATATATATATATATGCCCGGATAAATCCCACCCCATCCTCCCCTCCCACCACCATCGCCACCCGTACCGATCTCTCCGCCGGGGATGGAGAAGTCGACCGGCAGCACTGTCCACTTCTGCACGCGCTGGGCTCCCGACGCGGCCCGACTGTTGGCCCGGTCCAGGCCGCGCTGGATCGCGGTCATCACCTGGCGGGGGAAACGTGCGTCAGCGGTCAGACCACCCAGCGCCACCACACACCGCACATTGCACACTTAGATAACTAACGCACACTGCCCCCTGATGTTAATATAATTGCTCCGCCTTCACGTGTGTATTATCAGCGGCCATTTTTTTCTTTGTGTTCCCTCCCCCACGGCTACCTCAGTTCTGACCTTGTCGTCGGGGCCCTCCAGAACGTCCTGGACGGTGCGGGCAGAGGAGCCCGCCGCCCGGCAGAACTCCAGGGCCGGCGGGCTGAGTTGGTCCGTCGGCTCCATCGTGTCCAGGTCCACGACCACCTGGAGAGCGGCACGGGGGTCAACGTTGCGGTACACCGACGTCATGGGCGTCACCAGCTCCGCAGAGGCGCCATGAAGCGTTGAGGATGCCGTGAGGCATCAGGAACGCGTCGCACGATGCGCGCATAACGAGTTGTACGGTCCGTTGTGCGCGCGTGCGCGTGCGCGTGCGTGTGTGTAGGGGGGGGGGGCTAAAAGGAAGTCCCAGGAAACAACAGGACAACAAATGGATCCACGGCCGGTCAATGGAGGAGGAGTGGGTCACGGGGCATCATGTGGGCAGAACCCGCGAGTCGGTAGAGGGGGAGGGTGCCACGGGGCATCACGTAGGCAGAACCCGCCAGTGAGTGGAGGGTGAGGAGGTCACGGGACATTAAGTGGACAGAACCCGCGAGTCGGCTCATGTGATGCGCGGGCATGCAGTTCCAAGGTCGGTGGATCGGTAATTACTACAGGAAAAGTAACCATCGCCACAAACATCGGCGCTACCCATTATGCCTCACGCATGCACGCTTAGAGGGCAGATACACGATGGACTGATGTCAGAGACGTACTCATTCTTCGCGACGGAATTTCACTCGCTTCATTTCGCACGGTCCATTAATGTTACCAACTAGCCAAAACCCACAGTTTCGCTAGCGGTAAGCTGGTTACAGCCATGTATAACAGTGCGGCAGCAGGTGATGTTTGCCCTGATCACATTGTGCAAGTCGTTTCCCGTGCAGCCAGTGCCGAGTCAAGCCCACCTTCAGTGTCAGGAGCATGCTGAGGAACTTGCGCTTGTCGCCGATGAGGCAGCAGTTGCTGATGATCGGCAGCTCCTTCATCACCTCATCTTCAATCAGCACCGGCGGGATGTTTTCACCGCCCGCCGTGATGATCAGCTCCTGATGAAAGTTAAACATGACGTGAATAATCCGGATAGCCGAACAAGTCAAAGTACCGCACCCTGGAGGCAATGTGTCAGGCCGAGCGCCGACGTCGCTGTAACTGATAAATAATGAAAAACTTGGCCTGTCCTGTCATCTGCCGTATCTCGCTACCCGTCTCCCCTACCCGACATCACCCTTAATCCTGGTATCTTCTAATCCCATCTCACCTCATCTGGAAGCCGCCCGACAGAGGTCAGCACAACCAGTCACGACCTACCTCAGCCTCACACGAACCAGTCCCAACCTACACCAGCCTCACACGAACCAGCTCCGACCTACCCCAGCCTACCCCAACTTCCCAAGAACCAGCCGCGGCCTACCCCAGCCTACCTCAGCCTCACGCAAACCATCCCCGACCTACCTCATCTTACCCCAGCCTCACACGAACCAGCCCTGACCTACCCCAGCTTACCCAAACCTCCCAAGAACCAACCCCGACCTACTTCATCTTACCCCAGCCTCCCACGAACCAGCCCCGACCTACCTCAGCCTATCCCAGCCTCACACGAACCAGTCTCGACCTACCTCATCCTATCCCAGCCTCTCATGAACCAGCCCCGACCTACCTCATCCCATCCCAACCTCACACGAACCCGCCCCACCCGCCAGGACGTGAAGTTAAACCCGCAACCACGACCGCACCAAGTATCCAACCCGCTTCCCCACCCCAACACACAAAGACCTACGACGCCTCCCCGCCAGACTCGGGCCGATCCGACCCTGGCCGCTGCATGCGCACCTTGCTCCTGCCAGTGATAGAGATGAGGCCCCTGTCGTCGACGACGCCCAGATCGCCAGAGTGCAGCCAGCCGTTGGCGTCGACGGCCTCCTCAGTCTTGTCGGGCAGGTTCAGGTAGCCCATGAACACGTGCCGGCCGCCCATGCAGATCTCGCCCTGGCCCTCTGCGTCGACCCGGTCCAGGCGCGTGCAGTAGCCGTCCACAGTCGGGCCCACAGAGCCGACCCGGTCCGCGTCCAGCATACAGGCGGAGTGCGGGCCGGTGCACTCGCTCATCCCGTACAGCTGACGGTCGGAGCGGGGACGCGTCACGGCGCCGGTTCGAATCCCGCGAGGCGCTGGTGTGCTATTAGCTTGGACGACAGCTCAGTGAAGATGAAGTTTTGTTTCCAACGGCCAGCAGGCATCGACACGGATTTTAAAGAATGAAACAGGACAATAATGTGAAAAGAAGGTAGCTCTATGGCGCAAGAAAGCCGTCTGAAAATGGTGTCAACGTCATTGTTATAAGGTGTACATCGGTAGAAAACTGTTGTACGCATGCTTAAGTGCACTAAATCGGTGTGGTGGCTAAGAACTTAAGAAAACATTGTTAAGGACAAATTGTTCATGATATGGCAAGACGAACGGCTGGAAATAATAACGTAATAACTTTCGTGCTTCACAACACCAAGAGACTCACAAGAAACACACAAGAAGAAACTACACCCAGGTAGCACTTAGCCGCCTTTAGAGAGCACCTCGTGGCTTAGGCCGTTCACATACCTGAAGCAGCGGCATGTCCAGCGAGTGGAAGAATCCGAGCGTCTCCTTGGAGAGGGGCGCCGCGGCCGAGTATATGATGCGCGCGCGGTCCAGACCCACCAGCCGGTGGATCTTGCCCAGGACCAGGCGGCGCGCCAGCCCGTACCCGAGAGGTTTGGAGGAGAACCTGCCGGAGCCAGCGCACACGAGTTAAGCGCCGTGGTCAGGCGGTGGGTGACACTGGCGCGGTGTGAAGTCCGAGGACTGGGGGCAGTGAGCGACGACCGCCAGCAGATCGAGTAGGCCCTCTGAGGGGCGTGACCTCGAGTATGTAAGCCAACGTCATTCAAACTAGGTTCACAAACACCTGTGCCTGTGCTTTAGAAACGCACTGGTGCCGAATATAAATGGCCACGATGCGGAACAAAAAAGAGCGGGAAAACGCCCAAAAATTAAAACGTGCGCATGGGTGATGACCCGCATACTGACATTGCAATACATTCTAGCCAGCCAGATAAATAGCATACATAACACACGCACCACAAAACACACATGCTCGTCAACGTCAATTAAAATATCCACACAAGTGCACTTATCAGTGAGCTCTCGCGCGCGGCGCGTACCCCTTGATCCTGTTGTTCTGAGAGCGTCGACCCCGCTCAAGAGCCCAGTCGAGCAGCGACCGGCGCAGGCCCTTCGACTGGCCGGCCTTGGTCTCAAAGCCCTCCTTGATCTTCTCGAACACCCTCGGCACACCGATGAACGCCGTCGGACGAGCCTCGCACAGAGTCTGGCCCAGCGTACCCTGCAAACAAGCCAGCTCGGCTCAGTGACAGCCCAGTTTTGCTCAGTGACGGCCCAGCTCGGCTCAGTGACGGCCGGCGGTGCCGCGCAGTGACGCTGCCGCGCCTCCTTCCAGGTGGTCTTAATGCGGTGCTGCGGAAACAGCAGAACTATTTGCAGTGGCAAATTATTTGCAGTTTCACCGAGTGCGAATATACACAGCCATCCTAGGAGTTAAATCAACAAATTGCGCCAGGGATCATAGCCGTCAATTTCCCAACGATTCCCACCACGCCGCGCGCGACATCTCCGTAAGAAGCAGCATTACAAGTCACGCAGCCAAGATCCAGCCCAGCACGTCACACAAAGTCGGCTCCGTCCGGCGGAGGTGCCCAGCCAAGCTCACCTTCAGAGCGCTCTTGTCAGCGAACCAGACGGTTCCGCCGCACGCCAGGGGCAGGTAAATGTCGGCTATCATGGCGGCCACGTGACTGAGCGGCAGGTAGGAGACGAGGTGCTCCTGTCCCTCGCGGAGGTCGAACTGGGCGATCACGTTGAGGGCGGTGAAGGTGACGTTGTCGTGGCTGAGCATGACGCCCTTGGGCGGCCCGGTGGTGCCGGACGTGTAGATCAGGGCGGCCGCCTGGTTCACGGCCACCTGAAGATGCCGGAGCGGCGTGAGAAGAGAACTGGGGGACTTTCCAGTCACCGGTTCGCCGGCCGCACGGCATCGGTCGTGCAAGTCATGCCACGTCCCTTAAAATCACTGTCAGGTTTTCAAACAGATAAGCTTATTCTGGCCGCTTAGATGTGAGATGACTGGCGTCTTTCGCCAGCGAGCTCTTCATGCAAATTTGGTTATGAGATATGCATCTCTGTTGCCCATGAACCATGATACACTAGCCCATGTACTGCGTTCTTACGAATATACCACAGTACTATATGCATTATGCTTTATACTGCACCACTAACTATTACGAATCACATCAGTGCTAACGAAGCAGCATTTATCATTAATTTTGAACATCAAGCAGAGCAAACCCAGGTCTCCACAGCGCTGCTACGGGTCAGCATGGAAACAAGCTGCTCGTGCCTTCAGCTGGCTCGGAACCAAGCCTGCTACGGCCGAACGGAGCCTACGCCAACTCCAGGCACACGCTCTACACATCGAGCGCAGGTGCCTCCACACGTGGGAGGTGTCACCGCCCGTGTCACCTCCGAAGCACACGCACCATCTCCCAGACACACGCGCCACCTCCCAGCGCCATCTCCCAGACACACGCGCCACCTCCCAGGCACACGCGCCACCTCCCAGGCACACGCGCCACCTCCCAGGCACACGTGGGAGGTGTCACCGCCCGTGTCCCTCCCAGGCACACGCACCATCTCCCAGACACACGCGCCGCCTCTCAGCGCCACCTCCTAGACACACGCGCCACCTCCCAGGCACACGCGCCACCTCCCAGGCACACGTGGGAGGTGTCACCGCCCGTGTCCCTCCCAGGCACACGCACCATCTCCCAGACACACGCGCCGCCTCTCAGCGCCACCTCCCAGACACACGCGCCACCTCCCAGGCACACGTGCTACCCATCGGTCGCAGGTGTCGCCTCCCAGGCGCCCGCCACTCACCTGACGGATGCGGCGCTCGAGCTCCTCGCCGTCCTCGCGAGCTCCCAGCTCCAGCAGGCGAGCCCAGCTGACCACACCGGGCGCGGTCGGCTCCCCGAACAGCTGCACTACAGCGCGCAGGCTCGGCACCTTGGCGCGGAACTGCTGCACCTTGGCCAGCTGCTTCTCGTCCTCCACCACGAAGATGTTGCAGTGGGAGTCGGAGGCGCAGTGGAAGCACGCCTCTGTGTTGTTGGTTGTGTACACGCCTGGGGGTGGAGGCGGACCATCGGGCGGTGAGAACGGAGGGGGGGGGAGGGAACAGCGGGCACACCTCGACGTGCAGCGAGACGTATCAGCAAGCTCTTCCGATCGATCGGAGCCTCCGCACTGACAACACGAGCAAACGCCTACAAATGCACACGGTCGGTGTCGAACATTCAAAAATGCTTCACTCGAGTGAAGCACAGCGTCAGCAAACAACAGCGGGCGTGTGAAAATGAGCATTTCACATTTCAGCTGCGTACAGGCTGCTTCACTTCGTCCAGCTTCTCCTGTCAGCTGGATGCTGCCGAGGCTATCTGTGACAGTCTGTGCTATCGGTGCACTCACCTGCGGACAGTCCGCCGGCGTAGATGGCAGCCAGCGACGACACGAACCACTCGGTGCTGTTGAAGCCCAGGATGCAGACAGAGCCCTTGGGCTCGAGGCCGAGCTTGATGAAGGCGCGTGCCACGCATTGCACCTGATCCAGGTAAGCCTTGTAGGTGAGGCTCTGCCAGACGCCGTCCCGCTTCGATCGCAGCGCCGTGAGGTGGCCGAACCTGGAACCAGCCGGCCGGTCGTCAGCTGAACAGGCCCGCGATCGGCTGGCTTTTAGTCGCCTGGCGATCCGACCCGCCCAATCGCCTCATCTCTAGCACGAGCGGGCGGTAGCCGAAGAGGAATGGCATTGCCGCGGGCGACGTTTGACAGATTCCCTTCGGTGGCGCTGCGGATGCCGGCTTGGCTCGTGCGCGGAGTGCGGCCTGGCGTCTTTATGGGCTGTTGAAGGTTACACCGTCCCGTGACGTTACATTTTGCTACTGTGATTTTTGCCTTTCTCGTTCCGTTACGTGCGGGCATGAAGGAAAACCCACAAAGCCACGAAGGTTCTTATCTCTGCAATGCATGCATGGCATTGGAGGAACATTTATGCTCCTTGAACTTTATTACTTGACACAGGAGCAGTGCGTTTCGGAGAGCCTTGCTGTGACCTTGCTGTTACTTCAATGGCCGATATCTCCTTGTTACCCAGCCCAGTGGTTAACACCCCACATTTGGGAACGGGCGATTAAGTGTGTCAAGGGCAGCACATCCTGTCCCGCTTGCTGGCCTGGCACATACACGGATGATAGAACGGCCTACTTATTTCCGGTTACTGTCATACCCGGTACTCAGATAATATCGTACCCGCAACTTAGACATTGTCAGACGCGCCACGTAGGCATTGAAGTATCCACGACGTAAGACATTATCGTACCCGGTACTTAAGATATTAGCGTGCACGCGACTCAGATACTGGCGCACCCGCGGCTTAGACTGTCAATGACACTTGTCCCACGTGCAATGCATAACACACACGCGCCTACACCATCAGATTCCGAACAGAGTTCCCACGAAAATGCCTGCCTGCAGCTAGCGGAAGACAGCAAAAAGGCGAGCCAGTCGCAGCCAGTGCGATGCAGGCCGTACCTGTTGGCGGCCCGCCGCAGCAGACTGTGGATGGAAGTGGGCGGGGCCGAGGACGCACCCTTGGCGCCCACCTTGAGCTTCACGGCACCGAACCGGTCCGTCGTCTGCAGATTCTCGGTAGGGACGACCTGGTCCGGGCCTGAAACCGCAGACGTGGTCACGTGTCACGCGACGGGCGTGCGGCCCTCGTCCTGCACGCGTTCGCTCGCACAGCGAAATACGTGGACGTGGGCCTCCACATCAGGTGACAGCGGACCAACTCAGACGCGCGCCGTGGAACGGGAGGAGCAGGCCCGCACTTAAGATCACGGCCCGCTGGCATTCTTAACATTCCACACCGTGCACGAGCCGCCAAAACGCTGCCACGAGTTAGGCGACCGTTCCCCGAAACCGAAGACTCTGTGTGGAACAGGCTGTTACACTGCTGGCTGACTACACGGACAGCTTTCACACACCGAGACGCAGCCCGAGACACATGCCGACCGGCGTCGCCCATCCGTCAGACCGATGATGTGAAGGACGACATGCTTGCACTCACGGAGCCAACATGGCATGCCCATGAACCGTGGTGCTGGCGGGGATTCTTCGCGTGGCAGCGAGCTCACCCTGCCTTTTACGACGCCCGGCCAAACCGGACCCGACAAGCTGCACTCGGCCACTTTTTATAGATCGATGTAATCACTTGTCAACCGAACCATGACCACCGATAACGTCCGGTTGTCGCCTGCACTAATTGTAATATAACACCACCCACCAGCCCTTCAGATTCGAATAGCCATGCTTCTGCTGAGGCTGCGGGCGGTGGGGAACAAGCTGGGAACTATCAGGCATTAGATTGCAGTCTTGGATAAGGCTACATATCACCACAGGGATACAGAAGAGAAATTGTTGGCATAGCTGTGGAAGGTGGAACCAGGAGTCCTTCCGCACATTATTACAAGCTGTTGCTTCAGAATTTAACGCTATGGCGGAGCAATATAGCCAACAAAATAAGTACCAAAGTTACAAAGTCAAATCAGTTTCATAAACATAAAACATCACGTGCATATGCACTGACAGCCCTAACACACGATTTCTCTACGGAAATTATGTGTAATTCATCAACCAGAAATGGAAGCTTACTGAGAAGGACGGCATGTGGAATGTGGACCTTACATGTGGAATACGTGACGGATAGACGGATACGTGAATATGTTAATTACGCATAGAATGGCAACACCAAGTGGTAAGGCATCCTGAGAAACCCTGGCACAGTAAACCTACTAAAACCAGCATTCTTCAGAAGAAAACATTCAACTCGCCCATTTGCAATGCAAATCAGTGCGGTCGCTGTCACACTTGCCATACGGCATACGGTGTGGTCGCTGCCACACTTGCCATACGGCATTTTCCGCCCACGCCTGAGACCCAAATCAGCTGTAATTTTCTGCACAGACGTGGCTGGAAACCTGCCTTAGCGAACTCATACCAGCTCTGATGAACGTTTGACTTTGCTTTATGGCAAAAGCGGGCTCACGAGGAAAGGTAAACGTTGGGCGCAGGTTCACACAGTGCAGCCAGCCCAGATACCAAGCCCTGTGGCAGCAGCAGCCGCGGCAGCTCCCATCACGGTGGCCACCGCGCCACCGGCACGCGAGACCGCGCGAGACCGCGCCATCACAGGACACCGCGCCACCGGCACGCGAGAGAGGGCGGAGAGGAGCCTCACAACACCAACCGGGGTCGGGAGAGCGCAAGAGACGCCCGGAGGGAGCATCACAACACTAACCGGGGTCGAGAGATAGCAAGAGACGTCCGAGGGGAGCCTCACGACACCAACCGGGACCGGGAAATAGTAAGAGACGGCCGAGGGAAGCCTTATGACACCAACCGGGGCCAGGCAATAGCAAGAGACGTCCGAGGGAAGCCTGATGACACCAGCCCGGGCCGGGAGATAGCAAGAGACGGCCGAGGGAAGCTTCATGATACCAATCGGGGTCGAGAAATGGCAAGAGACGCCCGGAGGGAGCTTCACAACGCCAACCGGGGCCGGAAGATAGCAAGAGACGGCCGAGGGGAGCCTTACGTCACCAACCGGGGCCGGGAGATAGCAAGAGACAGGCCAATGCCAAGGCGTACCGGAAAGCCGGCTCAGTCGTACAGACTGACAGTCTGTACAATTATGACGCAGATACGTGTATAATTATACAGATTAAGAAATGTGTGGCGACATCATACACGCCAAGCACGATGCAGTGCAGAGCGCTGGGGCTGGACTCATTGCCACTTCCCTCTGCCCACTCTCATTTCCACATCCACCCACCCAGCATCATTCCCACATCCACCCACCCACTCTCATTCCCACTCATACCCACCCACTCCCACCCAACCTCCCTCATTACCACTCCCACCCAACCGCTCTCGTTACCACTCTCACCCACCCACTCACAACGGTCCTAGTCAAGGACGCGCCAAGGACCAAGGACGCACCAAGGCAACGCTTCACCCTGGAGAGGGGAGAAGGCCAGCTGGTCTAAACCAGTCGGTTCCAGTCTTTATCAAACCGGACCCTTGTCAGAGAAGACGTCACCATACGCCGGGAGGAGCGACACCCGCCCCGGACCGCCCGGTGCCGTACCGTCCGTGTACTGGGTGCCATTGGCCGGCGGTAGCTCGGGCGGCGCCGTCTGCACGGGCTCGGGCGAGTCACGGCGCGCGCGCACCGCCTCCTTCAGCTGCTGGTCCAGCCGGGTCACCAGTTCTCCGGGCGAGCTGGTGGACTTGGTGTGCGCGCTGGGCGTGCTGGCCGCGCTCGACGGCGTCGACGACGTCGAGCCGCTGGAGCTCTGCCGGCCCAGAGGTCAGGTCAGGTCAGGTCAGGTCGGGTCAGGCGATGGTGACGAGTCATTGTAGCTCCGCCGGCCAAGAGGTCAGGCTAGGCCAGGTCAGGTCAAGAGACGGTGACGGTCAAGGTGACAAGTCACTGGAGTTCCGCAAGTCCGGAGGTCAGCTCAGGTCAAGTCAGGTGACGTGCCACTTGGGCTCTGCCGGCCCAAAGGACAGGTCAGGTCAGGTTAGGCCAGGTCGGGTCAGGGTAGGGCAGGGAGGGCAGGGAGGGCAGGACAGGGAGGGCAGGGCAGAGCAGGGGAGGGCAGCTCAGATTATCTCAAATCAGGTCAGCTCAGGAAAGAAAGTCATCAGCCTAGGAAAGGTCGGGAAAGACCAGGTGAGGTAGCAGGAAGTTGGTGCCCGTCACCCCGTGACGCCTCCACAATTTTTTTCGGTTTCACCAGCCTTGGCTTAAGAAAAAACTGGTTCTGCCCGTTGGGGTCTGGTTCTGTCGGTTGGGGTCGGGCATTGTCGGGTTCTGTCGGTTGTGGTCTGATATGGTCGGATACAGTCGATTGTGGTCCGGTGTGGTCTGGTTCTGACTGTTGTGGTCTGGTATGATCGGGTTCTGTCGGTTCCGGTCTGGCATGGTTGGGGTCTGCGGTTGTGATCTGGTATGGTCGGGGTCTGCGGTTGTGATCTGGTATGGTCGGGGTCCGCGGTTGTGATCTGGTATGGTCGGGGTCTGCGGTTGTGATCTGGTATGGTCGGGGTCTGTGGTTGTAATCTGGTATGGTCGGGGTCTGTGGTTGTGATCTGGTATGGTCGGGGTCTGCGGTTGTGATCCGGTATGGTCGGGGTCTGTGGTTGTGATCTGGTATGGTCGGGGTCTGCGGTTGTGATCTGGCACGGTCGGGGTCTGCGGTTGCGGTATGGCATGGTCGGGTTCAATCGGTTGTGGTCTGGTATGGCCTGGTTCTGTCTGTTGTGGTCTGGCATGATCGGGTTCTGTCGGTTGTGATCTGGTATGGTCGGGGTCTGCGGTTGTGATCTGGTATGGTCGGGGTCTGCGGTTGTGATCTGGTACGGTCGGGGTCTGCGGTTGTGATCTGGTATGGTCGAGGTCTGCGGTTGTGATCTGGTACGGTCGGGGTCTGTGGTTGTGATCTGGTATGGTCGGGGTCTGCGGTTGTGATCTGGTACGGTCGGGGTCTGCGGTTGTGATCTGGTATGGTCGGGGTCTGCGGTTGTGATCTGGTACGGTCGGGGTCTGCGGTTATGATCTGGTACGGTCGGGGTCTGCGGCTGCGGTATGGCATGGTCGGGTTCAATCGGTTGTGGTCTGGTATGGCCTGGTTCTGTCTGTTGTGGTCTGGCATGATCGGGTTCTGTCGGTTGTGATCTGGTATGGTCGGGGTCTGCGATTGTGGTCTGGCATGGTCGGGGTCTGCGATTGCGGTATGGCATGGTCGGGTTCAATCGGCTGTGGTCTGGTATGGTCGGGTACAGTCGATTGTGGTCTGGTGTGGTCTGGTTCTGTCGGTTGTGGTCTGGTATGGTCGAGGTATGCGGTTGCGATCTGCATGGTCAGGTATGCTCGATCATGTCCAATTAACCAAATCAAATGCAATTGGAGGACCCCAGGCCATCTCGCGACAGCAAAGTAATACTTCTTGCACCCGTGATGCACAGTGAAGGAGTTAATTGAATCGTGTCGTGGTTACCAAGGGGCGTGCGGGTAATCAGACGTAACATCCAACCATTGTGAAATGGAGACTTCGCGTCACGCACAGCACATCATGCCAAACCATCTGTGCATATTGAGCGTTGCTGAATGGGTTCTCTTGAGCAATAGACCATGCAGCCTTTTCTGCGTCCGACTGCTAACAATGACCACACAACTGGCATAATTACACGGTTCGGATCCTCCACGGCGCAAAAGCATAAACCATTCGCGTTGTTTGCGAAAAACAGCCGTCACCGACAATGCCAGCCCCACACTCGTTTCTTGCGAAACAGCCGTCCATCTCAGTCACCCTGGATAAGCCATAATACAGCGTGATAAACGGTGACAGAAGAGCGAACTCCATTCAGAAGGGCTCCTCCCCAGCCGCAGCCAACTCCGCTCAGAACAGCTCCTCCCCAGCCGCAGCGAACTCCGGTCAGAGGAGCTCCTCCCCAGCCGCAGCGAACTCCGGTCAGAAGAGCTCGTCCCCAGCCGCAGCCAACCCCGGTCAGAAGAGCTCGTCCCCAGCCGCAGCCAACCCCGGTCAGAAGAGCTCGTCCCCAGCCGCAGCCAACTCCGGTCAGAAGAGCTCCCCCAGCCGCAGCCAACTCCGGTCAGAAGAGTTCCTCCCCAGCCGCAGCCAACTCCGGTCAGAAGAACTCCCCCCTCCCCCCCCCCCCCCCAGCCGCAGCCAACTCCGGTCAGAAGAGCAAACTTCCCAGTCGCAGTCAACTCCGGTCAGAAGAGCTCCTCCTCAGCCGCAGCCAACTCCGCTCAGAAGAGTTCCTCCCCAGCCGCAGCCAACCCCGGTCAGAAGAGCTCGTCCCCAGCCGCAGCCAACTCCGGTCAGAAGAGCTCCCCCAGCCGCAGCCAACTCCGGTCAGAAGAGTTCCTCCCCAGCCGCAGCCAACTCCGGTCAGAAGAACTCCCCCCTCCCCCCCCCCCCCCCCCCCCCCCAGCCGCAGCCAACTCCGGTCAGAAGAGCTAACTCCCCAGCCGCAGCCAGTCACGCAGAGCGAAACAGCCTGCACGGTCTTCAACCCGCACCGTCTAAGAACACGGAGTACGGCAGCTCTCCTTAGTCCACATTCGCATCAGTAAGTCACAGATGAATAAGACGAAGTCCAAAAAGCAGCAGTTGCGGACCACCCGCCTGCACGGCACGATCATGCATGCTCCGCTTTGTACGCGCTGTAGCCTCGTTTGAACAAGCCGGCCGACAGGCGCCAGTCGTCTCACCGCAGACTGGAAGGCCTGCTCGCTGCGAATGACAGGCGTCGTCGCTGAATCACTCTGGTCGTAGTGCACGTTGATGGCGATCCGCGTGCCCGTGATGACGCTGCTGTTGGCCGTGGCGGTGGTGGCGGCCATCTTGGAGCGGGAGTTCCCTCAGGCAAGGTCGCTCAAGGTCGCCGACGGCTCCTCTGCAACGGGCGGAGGCGCCACGTTAGATAAATCGCAAGGTCGTACAAGGTGAGGCAGCAGTCCATTCGTAGGCAAAACAAGGCAATGGGTAAATCCTAACGTCAACAACGACCCTCACAGGCACGAACTGCACGGCTTTGCTTGCACGGCACGAGTGATCAGCATCCAAGCAGTGCTGCATTCCTCAGCCCGAGATTTCATCGCCTTCGGAACTCTGGCTGCTAGTGAGTAAAGGCGCTTGCCGAATATGCAGCTTGAGCCTAGTTCCATGCGATATAACTAGGAACATCCTCACTTATCCATCGTGACGCGCAGGCGTACAACCGTGACGAACGAACGTACAATCACTTGATCCAGTTACCTAGCTTTGCTGACAAGATTCATGCTTGAATTATGTACAAACTGAAGGCTAAGGCCGCACTAACTCGTTTTCAGCCAGGACAGGATAACCCGACCCAGACCGCTATGTCAGACATGCATCGACAATGCATGGCCACGGAACACTGTAATGTTCAGGTGAAAAAAGGGCCGATAGTTTCGTGACATCACATCAAAAGACGGTGCTTGTCATCAATCACTTTCCCCAAACAAATCGCGTGTATTGGAGGATGGCCGACCATCCTGGGTCAGGGGCGTACAGACGGAGGTGGCGGGGTCAGCAACGCTGACGCACATCGAAAACTTGGTAGCAGGGCCCCCAGCTCAGGAGATATGCGTCCAAGCACAGGCGCTCAGACCAAATCCACCTACAGAGCTGATTGGCCTTGGCCAGGGTGCAGATTTTTAACCCAACGTCGGGATACCTGTTTTCTAGAATTCAGACACAACTGGTCGTAAGAGGTTCGCTGAAGACGGGCGGCATGATGAACGTGATTTATGGAGCACCATTCCATGCAACGCCTCGACTTCGGCAGTGGCTTACACGGCCGCTCTGAACTGGTGAGATTCATGACTAGAACCTGCCACAGAGTGTGGGGGGGGGGGGGGGCTCACACGATAACACCTGTCAGCTCTGCATGTGTTTTTTCACGCAAGGTGAGGAAAGTACGCCGTGCTGCGGCATACACACGCAGAATAGGCCCACATGAATCACACGTGGTACGCACGTGTTCTTTTCACGCAAGGTAGGGAAGCTGGCTGCGTTCGCGGACACACGAAGTTACTTCTCACGCGCTGGCTACCGGAGCGACTGCTCATCACCCATCAGTGGAACACAAACAGCACACCAAGCTCACACATCCGTCCCGCGCGACGACGCATCTGCGGCTGGCGTATGCCGCCCCAAGCGAGGTCAACTCAAGGTCGAGCCCCGGTGCGTACCAGCCTTGCGCCAGACACGCCGACTATGGTGAGAGGATAAGCACAGGCAACGTGGCGTTCTTCAGAAATTCCCTCTGCAAATATCACCTGCGGTCTGGACTTGCCCGCCATTAGGCGTGCGTGTCTATTTCGCAGCGGAATTACCCGGCGCGCAACGACGGAGGATCAATTTCCAGGTCGCGCGGATTTGCAAGCGGCACCTCCGACTGCATGGCAGCGGTGGAAGGGGGTCAGAACAGCGCACACTGCGCACCGACGGGGAAAGACGCCGGCGGGAAACGCGCCTATTGGGGAAAACCAGTGCGCCAGCGGGAAGGCCAACCATTGCATGCGTATGTTGGCTGACGTAGCAAGAGTCTTATACATCGCCTGACATGCGAATTTGCTCTTTAGGCAGGATAAAGACGCAAGACTTAATATCATGAGCGCATCCCATGCCTTCCCAAAAAGCACCGTCGGGAGTGAAAAGGTTATTTTTGGTCTACTTTGTACCTATCAGAAGAGGCCGCCAGAAAATCGCCGTTTCCTAATAGTTTTAAAAAACGCTCACTATTATGTCTGTAAATCCAAACACCGGTCGTTATTCTGCTATTAACGTAGCCCTTTGTCGCGTTTTGGTGCAGCTAATTCATTAACAAACATCTTCACCAATTATTGTTACCGTTTCGATGCGTGCGACTCGCTTTACGCCAAATCTGTGATAAGTAACGGATGCACCTTGCCTCTGAAGGAGACCTCAGCCCGCTCTTAAGAAGCAGTTTTGATTTAATGCACACAAATGATACACAATTTGACATACAGGTGAAGACACCAGAATCGCGTTACTCAATGCGCGCAGTGAACAGCCAATGTAGCAACTCCGTCGGCACCAAAACGCGAAGCACACATAACATGCCGACATGCTAGGTGCCAGGCAGAGCGGGCCTCGAGGAGTCGCGCTCCCAGCATAGGGCCTGAGTGGCGCGCGGCACCAGGGGGCGCCTCCGAGCCGGACGTGGTCGCCAGCAGGCGCTGTTTGTGCCCACACGACAGCCTCTCTCCATCGTTTTTCTCGCCCGCGGCTAGCAATAAAACAGCCAATTACCGAGGCGCGGCAGATGCCCGGTGCACAAGCGGCGCGGTGTGCGGCGGCTCCGGCAGGCGCCGTGGCATTGACCTTGCACCTCGGCGGCGGCGGCGCTGCGGCACCTGGCGGCGCTGCGCCGGCGTCACGTCTGTCACCTGGCCGCCACGTGACGCCGCTGCCGGGGTGCAGCCCAGAGCCCCGACCGCTGCCCTGCGGGCTCGGGCTGGGACCTTGAGACGCCACCGGGTGGTGCCCCTCACGGTCACACTCTGGCCCGTGCCACGAAGGTTCGTGGTGGGAAAGTTTTGGTCCCAGCGCAGCCAAAGAATGACATGGTCCCGAGGTAGCCAAAGAATGACGTGGTCCCAGCGTAGCCAAAAAATGGCATGGTCCCGAGGTAGCTTAAGAATGACATGGTCCCGAGGTAGCCAAAAAATGACAGACAGAAGTGGGATCATCTGGATGTTTAAATGTACGAGGGGAGAGCTTTATTGTAAGGGCGGCAGCAAAAAGGAAAGCTTAACAACTAGAAGCAAATGCGCTTGAAGATTTGCTCCTATTATAGCAGTCCGCCTACAAAACTATAAATACATTACCACATCCCACATCCTAAAGTTCGAGAAAGTGGAGACAAAGTGGCAGTCTCACAAGTACGCAAGTGGTCGAAATTTCGCAGCAGATTACCACAGCCAAGTCGGCATCGCATGTGACTACACTCAGCGATCGCGGCAACATTACAGCGCTAGTCTACGATGGCATTCGAGTAGATCCAGCTTACCCAGCACCAGGTCATGGGGCAAACGGGGCTCAAGCGAGCGCCCGCGTCACAGAGCCGCGACTCGGCGCGAGGGCGAACATGAAACCTGACCTAACCACCACAGTCATCTTGTCTCCGCGGCGCCATCAATAACCGTTCACGGAAGTGGGGAACCGCGATCACCCAGCGTGACCTTCGGCCGACCTGGGAACGAGCAGGCGGCGCGACTCACGGGTTCCCACCAGGCGAACCGCGTCCGCCGCCCACTCACGACCTGGGAGCGGACGGGCAGCGTCCAGGGGACGCGGAAGCGCCGGCTTCAGCGACACGACAGGTGACCAAGCAACTAACTGTCGTCCGGACGGCGGGCTGACATTTGGCTTCAGTCCAGACAGAGAACTATGTCTGTATGAGATAAGTCTTCGTAGGGTAACGGGTCCAAGGTTGACGGGCCCAAATGGCGCGATATGACCAGCCAGATTAACGAGCTCGGCCGGAGCGACTGGTCCAGACTGAGAAATCAATCAAACGAGTCCAACGCATACAACCAGAACAACAGAAGTCATCGTAACAGCTACAGCCATTTTGCGCTTGAGTACCATGACCGCCTGGGCTACACCAGCCTGAGAACTTCTGGCAGATCGGTGGGCTTGGACCGAGGCGCCGCCCCTACTACCACGCTCGACAGAGGCTTCACAGCACGCTCACGAACCAGCACACGCTCACGAACCAGCAGCGCACAGCACCCGCGAGCGGCCAGCACGGACAGCTGATCAGCTGTTCTTCCCACACTGAACCAGCCGGATGAACCGCCACATCCCGTAGACCATACACTTTCCAGGTCCCCCCCCCCGCCCCCACCTCCATATGCTCTTCGAGAGGAAGCATATGACTCGGCGTCCCTTTGGTGCGATGTTTCGAAGCGAGGTCCGGCAAGGTCATGCACTGACGGCACACTGGTATGCCTCGTGACCGGGCGTCGTGCAACACCTGGCCATGCAACACGGGCGACCTGCATGAGGCCTCACGTACCTCATACCGTTCAAGCACTGCAGCGCTTGCACCGCAAAGACGCGAGGCCGCGAAACAGGCAGACTACGCATTTAAAACGAGCCATCCCAACATAGCCATGGGCCAAGGTGTTTTGAAAGTGAATTCGCCTCCTGGACCGATAGAGAGGCAGCTTGGGCCGCGTAGTCTGGACACTAATTATTGACGGGACATTGTGCTTAATTCTGTGTAACTACGCCACAAGGAACGAGACGTTATACCGCTGTAAATACGGAAGTCATAAACCCAATCTTCCTTCTAAACTCGCCGTAAAGGAGACATACATATCGCATACTCTGTACTGCCTAAGACAGCGCGAGACGTAGTGGAGCCTACAACACCGCTCACGAACTTGCCCACCCAACTCTCCACGCCCGAGGAAAATCCCGTCTCCCGATCACCAGAGATGCGGGGCGACCGCGCAGCCTTGACGCGAGCCGAGCTGACATGCCAGCGAAGGCGAAGGTAAGCCAGGTCGCCCGCGCCGGCGCGCCGCGACCCCGGCGCAGTGGCGTAATAAACACAGCGGAACCGGTCCCGCCGGAGGCCGCGGCGTCCCGGGCAGGGCGGACGTGGCGGCCGAGCCGGCCGGTCAGGCCCGTCGCTGGGAGCTGCTCACTCACCACGGCAGCCGAGAGCCGCCGGGCAGAAACTGGGCAGCCACTGGGAGGGTCACGCACAGCGGGAACGGAGAGATACCGGGCAAAAGGCTGGCAGAAATTTGGAGATTCACGCCCAGTGGGAACGGAGAGACACCGGGCAGAAACTGAGCAGAAGCCGGACAGAAACTGGGTAGCCACTGGGAG